ATTTTTTTTTGGACAGTAAAACGTGCAAACCAAAACACACATTTGAAAAAGTGCAGGGGACATGTTTGCCCTGTCCTTCCTCCAAAAATTACATCCATGTACACACTGATCAGAAGCTGCCTGCTACAGACCAGACCCAAACACTCAAATTTGTTTTTGTTTATAATCAGATTCAAGTCAGCATAGTTTTTTTTTTTTTCAGTGTTTTTATTGTCATTACACCCTGACAAGTACAGAGCGATGAAATTAACTCTCTGCATTTATCCCATCCCTTTGTGGAGCAGTGGGCTGCCATTGTTCAGGGCCCGGAGAGCAGTGTAGGGTTAAGGGTCAGTCTATGGCAAGCGCAATGCCCTAACCACTACGCGGCTGTTCTGTCAGATCAGCATACCCCATCAGACCAACATACCCTTAGTCAATACGCATGAGCAAAACGTCAGATTTCCGCTTATCCCTCTAGTTTTGTACAAAAAATAGACTTCTTTCCCTTTAATCATGTACAAAAAAAAAACAATTTAAGGGCAGATCGCCATGTGCTTCAAAAAACACCAAAAGCATGTGCTTAGGTTTGCATAGGGACCATAGGGACATGTCCCTACCAAACTTTTGGCCCGACCTACTTGTTCCTACCTATAGTTCTATGTGAACAACATGTTTATCATTTAAAATACAGTGTTGTTGCAGCAGTCACTTCTTTTCTCACAACTTGTATATTGAAGTCAATATTTTAAATGCTCAGTGTCAGTTCCTCTTATAGTTCCCACGCTTATGTTAATACAATAAATCTATTTGCAGTCCCTTTAATAAGTTATTTTGCTTTGTTTTACAATACAGAGAATAACAGAATATCAGAAAGTAAATAAATAAGAAGGGTTTACCTCTGCACAATTCTATTTCTTAAAAAATAAAAAACACCGGATAAATACACATACAGACATATTTAGACTTTATTTGGTTAAAAAGGCACATATTTACCTTCTGTCTTAGTCACTGGTAAGTTCAAATGTAACCCTTTTCAAAGTGTTAAGTTGTCCCAATTTTACATTATTCTGGGCCACTGATGCGTCAAACATTGATTGTTAGGTTTATTTAATGATTATAAAATGAATGTATGCTTATGAAACATTTGTGCAAGGGGATGCTCCACCGTGTCTTGTGATTCAGTCAGGAGACCATCCTGCCTTGTCATTCTGGTGGAGCATCTTGTCTTTATGAACTGATCAATTTGTTCTGTCAGAAAAAATACTGTTTTGTAACCATGTGTTATGTTCTGTTAATAAAAGACGGCTGCAGGAGAGGATTCTGAAGTTGGGTTGGGCTTTTTCTTTCCGCTCCTGCAGAAGTTGCTTGAATCTCTTTCCTGTGTAG